GGTAACACCTTGGGTCACTGGAGACTCAAACGTCAATTTCCTTGGGAAAAACGTCAAAAAATTGAAGGAAAGTGGAAGCTCCATACATCGTTGGATTCGCCTTGTACAGGGCTATCGGATGGTCTGAATTTCAGATCATTTGGACCTCTTCTACAGAAGTTATGGCAAAACGACGGTTTGCGACGGAAAAATCTGTCGCAAACCGTCGATTGACCAGAAATTAGGAGCGGTATTGTATGTCTTAGGATTCAAAATAAAACTCCTCGTTCGATAACCATGTATGACATGCAACTTGTAACAAGGAACACAATCGAAACAGCGACTAATGGTGATCATTGATAAGCTAAATTGGTGAAAAAATAGCCCCAAGGTGAGCGTGTCAGGCCCCAGATGTGCATTCAACATGAAAAATACAAAAAAATGCGGAGCCAAATGAAAAAAGGATAACCAGGCGGCAGTAAATCGTTCTATACTTGGCTATTATCGATCGCAAGGCTGCGACCGCTTTCGTTGGAAAAACGTCATTGGAGCGCGGTTGTTGGACCTGCCAACGTCCTGGGGTCTTTTCGGGGGTTATATCTCTTTGAGGGGCGCGGCTTTTGATGAATGGTTAGCAGCATGCAACGGAAATGTTCCTACTGTTGCGTTTTCTACCCAGTTGCAATCTGAATGTTTCCCCGTTCGTGAAATATTTCGGATGGGTTTCGGATCGGCTAGGGGTAAATGGCAAGCGGGTTTTTATGCTTCACACGAGGATTACTTATTTCGAACGCAATTTCATCAGGATTAAAATCGTCTTGAAACCGCCCTATCTTTTCTCTTTCCAATAAGCTTTACAGTTTTTCTGAAGACCCACTAGTTCAGGAGATATTTTAGATGGGTCACAGACGCGCTACCCTCTGACCCACCCGAAAAATCGACTCCTTCTGTGCCATTGTGAGGATACACCTTCGAAACTTCACTCCAAAACACATATTTCCCTTCAAATGAGTGAAAGAGGAGCTCGGCTATCACTGATCGATTTGGTCCGAGTGTGCGCCGTGCATTACGCTCCTACGCAGAGGTGGTGGAAAGGTGTAAATTCTGATTTCAGGTGCTTTTATCCATGCAAGCAGATGTTTGTTTAGGGTTTGGAAAGGACAATACGCACGAATCTGTTTGAGACGTATTATTTAGTCATCTACGTACTTACGAGTTCATGCTATTAACTGATATTTATTTATTTATTTATTCTTGCTATTCTTGCTATATTGCTAATAAATTTTTTATTATTTTGTAGTCCTATTTTTTTATTATTTTGTAGTCCTATTTACATCCGGGTCTTCTGCAGCTTTCCGTCCGTTCCATCAAACTTAGCAATGACACTTTTGTACTGTTTGATGCCTAGCGAGCCTACTTTTGCGATACTCCCCACGTCCCCCGCGGCCAAGTACGAACCCATTTTGGGGATTTCCATGAAAAGAGGGCTGTTAAACGTAGCAGTTAAATCTGTAAAGAATACACTCATAATAATTTTCATTTTTTTAACATCTTGACTTCCATAGCTCCACTCCCACTATCAACTGAAATGTCGAAGCATTGCCCGGCTCTGAGTGACCCTTGAGATTACGACCCCCCTCCCCAGCGGCCAAGTACGACCCCCCCCCTATGGGTTTCGCACAACGATGCTGTACCCTGGTTCCTCTTTAAACTCGTCTGTTTCTACGTAAGTATGTAAACGCTCTACACATTTTTTGGCGCTAACATAGTTGAGCGACCACTCGCCAGCACCCCCCCCTCCCTCCCTCCTCCCACACCCGTCCCCCCTATTCCTTCCATGGAAAGCAGAGCGCAGAGAACCAAGATCTTTGTGCAAGTAGTACAGCCCCCAAGCTAGAGACTATCCCACTCTCGCGACTCCACAGCGAGCGAGGAGCGAGCTACAGCCGCTGAAAGTTCTAGTTCTAACGCCCGCCCAGTTGGACCGCCCACTTGCTAGATGCCCTCTGACGGAGAGCCGCTCAGTTGTTCTTTGTTGGGGCGGCGGGCATTAATCGGAATTGCATGCCCTTTTTGCTGACCGCGCTCGTGCCCATGAATGTTCTGCTCTCCTTTATTACATTTTATTTATTAGGAGCACATACAGTCAACTCCAACCCATCTTGCAAGGTAAAACGCGTAAAATCGACCCAATTTTCGTGGTGCAAAAGCTCGACGCACCACACTACACTAAAAGATGCACGCTACCGTAACCCTAAATTCAGACGCCTAGTTTTTTTAAGTTTCTTTTCCTTTTCAAAGTTTTTCTTCCGTGTTTTTGTTGTTTTTTGCTGTTTTTCATATTCTTTTCATTGCATTGGATGATACCACTACTGGGAGATGTGATAAAGGAATTTGTGAGCCAGGGTTGCACAGAGACCGCAGGAAGGTGTGACTGCCAGGGAGCGATTTTGTTTGTGGTGTTCTTGAGGGCTCTTCTTGCTTTGGTTACTTATCACCTACAGTTTCATAATTGAAAAGCAACCATTCATGACACTTTTATCGCGGGAGCTGTCTTCAGTTAGGATGGGTACGCAGTATCGCAGTTAGCGACAAGAAAATGCTATATTTAAGCTATGCGAATAGGCGACAGGCGCCCAAAGCGAACTGTAAGCGCCTGCAGGGCACAGCATTGGTTGGGGATTCCCTATGGGGGGGTCGTATTTGGCCGCCAAAAGGGGGGTCGTATTTGGGCTGGGAAAAATTTATTTTTATAGTTGATTTTTCTCGCTTTGCGGACGTTTTGGAGGGGGGGGGTAGGAGTTACGTGGTTCACTTGATGGATTTTTATGAATTTTCTGTGTTATAGGTACCAAAATCCCCATCGAATGCTGTGCCCTGAGCGCCTGACTGTGACACCTGCGCTCTTCTTGAGCGGGGTAAGAAAGTGCAAGGGAAGTGCCAGGTGTAGACGCTGCTATAAGAAGATATGGCATGGCTCATTTCCACACTAGATTCAGTGTCCACTCCTTTTTATGCTCCTAACTCAGTCTTCACATTTCAGTCGTTATTATTTCATTTCTGGTAGATTATTGGTTTCCATTATGGGGCCGATTTTTGGTTGTAGTTGTAGGCTACTTTTGATTACCCGATTTTGAGGATTCCTAATAAATTGGCGTAGTCGAGAAGAACACCAGAAAATGCTACGCAGACGGTGGAGAGTGATTCACCCTAACTACGTAAGCGCCCATTTTTTATACTTGTGTATTCTATTCTATATTGTATATGGTTTACACGAACGCTCCTTACACGGGATCTCCCTACAAATACCACCATCTCGGCAGCAGAGTGTACTCCGCACATAGCAGATCACTGGATGTAAAGAGGTACTCCACAGCCTGTAGATGGGCTACGCACTTCATTTGAACTTGACGGGTCTGCACTTCTGATGAAATTGCCGCTTAGGGACGAGGATTCACATCTTTGTCCACCACACGACAGGATTACTTTGTCTCGAATAGATTCAGAGTACGAAAGGGGTTTTATTTTCATGTCAAAAGGAGCAAGAGAAGCGGTATAGGGGAGTCGTGCTGAACCACTGTGAAATGCATGAAGGATTGGGATTCTCTTGGACTGTGAGTAAAGCAAGCCGCGGCATTTTCGCTGCTTAGGCACGATCTTTTGGTGATTGGTCTAAAATGCTAGTAGGGCGCCATATAGTGGGGAAACGGCAGAAAACTAAGTGAAACGGTCAAAAACCTGCGAAGAAAAGCCTTCGTTCTTCAATGGGAACTTCAGACGAGTTTTCCGTAGACATATTGCCAATAACCGCTACGGTGGGTACGGCTGCATGTATAGAATATTCGCGGACGATGGGGCGTGTCAGGCAGTATGAGTGCGTAAAAAACTCGTTCTCTGCCAATTGTTGAAGCAGTTACGCGACAACAGTTGTTGGGAAACGAGTGATACGAACGACATGATACAGTCTTGTCACTTGCTCGCTTTAACAGCTGGTGGAGAACGGGTTTGGCACCGCGCCAAACTCATCCTGCCTGACGCCCCACCGTCCGCAGCGAACTACACTATATGTTCTCATATATCCACGCAGCACCGCAGCCGCTTCATACCAATCCCTTTCTTAATATTTTACTTAGCAAATAAAGCATTACGAGCGTCAGGTACGATCGTCCACTTGTGAGCGGACGGGCGTGGTGGCGTTCGCATCGCTATGTTGTAGCTCGATGAGGCCCTTCTAAGGGTGCCTCCCTTGGAAGAAGGCGCTACGCAGCACCTGCTTCAGGGTCGCGGAATCCCGTCCTGCCAGGCGGTATCAGTCCTACTCTTCTTAGAGATTTATCGTGCCAATCTTTACCCAGGAGCTTTGTTGCAGTTCTCTGAAAGGGAAAATAACATCGCGCCTCAATGACCACAAAAGCGAGCAATAAGCCATTCCAGCTTGATAACGCTAAATATAAAGTGCAGGAACCTGAGTGCCAATGAGAGAAGTCAATGCTCTGGACTCTTCTATTTCCCAGCACATGCTCTTTATACGACAGATTTTTGCACTGTTACTGGAGGTCACTAAAGGGAAATTGGCGTAGTTCGGGGGTGGGGGCGTCTTGTCTTTCGTTGCTTCACTAGGTCCGGTTTACAGTCTCACTCTGATGAAACCTGTGAATTCTTGCCAAGCTGGAGCAAGTTTGTCAAGCCAAGGTGAAACCTTGGAGCGTGGTGAAACCTGTCAAAGGCTATCTAGATAAGTCGACACGTCGATGGGAAGAAGCAAAAGTGCAAAATGCCCCCCTCCCTTCCCTGTCCGTCGCCGAACTACGCCGAAAAATTGCAATGCACTCACTGCTTCCTTCGAGCTTCAGAGCGTGGCCATTACATGATTTTGTTTCTGCAGCTGGCCACCTAAACGTTTTCTTCAAGTTGTATAGCTGACAGGTAAAGTGAACGATAGTGGTATACCCTACCATTGAGAGGGAAGTTTGTCCCCGTTGCTTGAAAGAGTCTGATTGGCTATGCTTCTGAAGGAGATAGTATATCCAGCTCGGGAGGGATCAGTTTTTCCTGTCTCGATTGTGAATAGCGTATCAGTAGTCCCGTTTTCAGGCTGAAATTTCCATCTGAGGACTCAAAGGGTTCAAAAGTGGGACTCACCTCGAGGACGGTCCGCACCGTGTGCGAGGCGAATGGGTCTGCAGCTGCAGTACCGCGACACTTTCTCTGTTCAAATTCACGGTAACGGCACTGTGGTGGTCCCCTAGTGCCGTATAAATAGTCACCATCAGTTCGCGCCGAGATGCAGAACCGTTTGCGCCAAGGTCTCGCAAAGAAACATGCACTCAGCGGTATGGAGACAGCAGAGGGGGAAACAGTATGGAGACAGCACAGGGGAACACAACCATCCATCCCTCGTTCTCGTGTCGGGAAGTAGCACAGTGCTGCAGTCACAGACTCGTTCTCCCACACTTGGCAAGGATCAGGATCGACCGGCAAAGGTGTAGGGCCTTCGCGTGATTTTTATTTCATGATCAAAATGTTCGCATAAACCATATCCATGAACAGTCTACAACTGTTTGAGACGAAGATGGATTTGTTGCGTTGATTGCGCCGCCATTGTCGTGAGAAGTTGGCCCCAACCAAGATACTGTTGCTGTTAACAGGGGAGCATTTGGCGCGATACACTGTACACACGGGCAATAGCCATACAGTAGCACCCAAAATTTGCATAATCTATTGAAAGCCGCGGAGCAGTGGGGGAGATACCTGTCCCAGGGGGACCACTGCATACACGCCCCGTTGCATAAGCCCCTAGCGTCTTTCCCAAGTTTGCGGAGGCTAAAGTAGCACACCCAAAAAACACTGCAGAAACACGATTCTTGCACCTACAAGGATAATCACTGTCAGGTAATTGCGGAATGTGTCTTCAGTTGGCGCACACGAACCGCCTCGCGATCAATGGAATCTTCTTAAAGGATTATGGAAATTAAACACTCGCGTTCTACCAAGATACCGGTAGAAGTGAGGATTGTTCCAATTCATACGTGGAGTTGCAGCTTCCAACTGTGCTTCCCATCGCCCCTTAGTCTCCACCGTGTTAAAGAGAATGAACGTACCAGTTGGGAATCCACACTGGTTTCCCCGACACCCCAAACGTTTGCCACAATGGCCGGTAAATGAGAGAAACATGACAAATTTAGTGGAAAGAAAAAAGAAGGAAGGACGTTTTTGAAATTGGAAAGGCAACATACATTGAGCGCCACAGTGAAGTTAGTTCCATCGATGAGCGGGAAATCAGTTCCCAGCAATTTATTGGATATTTTGACAAGACGGTCAGCAAGCTTCGTGATTAGTGGAGAAACGTATCCCGAGAAAAGCAGCTCATCGACAGTCTGAATTCATATGTAATTTATTCTATAAGGTGAAATGTTCGTGTTAGACGAAATGTCAGGTTGAGCTGGTTAATTTGCGAGGGGACACTTCCAAAATGATGTTTATATGCAACAGGCAACAAATAACGAAGGAACGATGATTGTGCGGGACTAGGGACTTTCTCGGATGTTCTGTTTTCATTGTTTGTCGGTTGATGTGTAACGACATGAGTTCGCTCATGTAATAAATGATGATGATTGCAAAAATGAAAATCTGATAGAATTTCTTCTGTCCGACAGTTAGATGGGATAAGGGTGAGATGCACTGCTCGGAGTAGGGCGGTCTAGGGCTGGGAGACTGTTTACCTGGTTACAATTGATTTATAGGAGCAGTAGGGGTCTTGCTTATAACCCCACACTCCACCAGACACTATTATATGTCTCTTTCGGCGGCCCCCAATGGCACGAGCCACGAATTACTTGACATGTTAACGGATTGCTATCGAGTACGAAGATTTCTGTAGCTGCTGCGATGCTAGGGCTTGTGTGCTGCAGGTACTACAATTGCGTTAAATGGCAGCGTCCGCGTTTCAGTGAGGCATTTTTCTCTCCCTTCGTGAGCAGATAGCCAGGCTCGCAGAGGCAGCGAATACAGCACTTTTGCGGCGCAAAGAGAGAGAGACAAGGCCCACGATACCGTCGTTCCTTTCATTAGCCCAACCCCCTATCATTGGAACCGCCCTCCATTCATTTCTAATGGTTACCTGATGGTGCGGTTGTTTCGCTGCTGCTTCTCTCCACGTCGAGTGGTGAGAGTGAGGTGATAAGGGAAAACAGCTGATATCAACAAGTGAGAACTCGTGCGATCGCACCTTCTCTTCGCCTTGAGCGTACAACCTTAATTAAGCAAGGGGTTCTATATAGAGCCTTTCCTATGATTTCTTTCTGATTTTTCTTCACTAAGAGCTTACTTCGCTACCATTGTTATAAGTATTTGAGCCGCATAACTCATCAAATTCGAATGCGGGCTTAGCCTTTAAGTTACTGCGACATTTTGACCGAATGTTGAACCAACTTCTCCCTCACTCGACCCTCCATCTTTTAAGGGGATCTCGTTAATAACTATGGACTACATGTGCCCACGTTTCAGACAGCTTCTCGGTTCTACTCTTGCAGAACTACGGCAACTACGACGAAAAGAAGAGGTGAGCTTCACATCGGAGCAGACGTTGATTTTCGGAATTTTCGCTTTCTGAAGGATGCTGTAGGGACCAAAAGAAGTGGTAATTAGAGACTGCTCAGTTCGATGAATAAGCGAGGCATGATTGCATTCCCTGTTTGATATCCATAACCTGTTGGCGTAGCTCCATCGCTACATGCGGTCTTCGCATTTCGGGTAGTAGAAAGAAATTGAGTGTTTCTGAATAAAATCAAGCGTGACACCATCCATTTTTGAGGTCAATTAGAGCAGAGTGTGGCCAGCAGTGTCGCTGGACATCCAGCGACATCGCTTTCGAAGTCCCACCATAGCACGGTGATATCCTTTTTCAAGCTCATCTGCTTTGGCTGAGCAGAACACCTTTCGCCTCAACAGATCCTGTGAGAGATATGTGCATCGTTTGATTAACCAGCTTTCATTACCAACCACAATGTTTTGCAAAAAGTCCGTCCAATGCGTACGAGAAAGAAGAAGCTCAGGCACGACCATTCGCTGGACTTTGTCAAAATGGTGCAACTCATGTGGCATCATTCACATAAAATTTCCCCTATAACCGAGATTGCGGAGAAGCATGGCAGTTGTCACTTAGGTGTAGCGGTTGCCAACCACTGGTGGTTACGTTCGGCTGCGCCTCCAGGGGTTGAATCAACAGCCGTCATTCTGTGCTGGTGGCCGACCTATAAATTGCCTACCTTCAAATAACTACAGCTTACAAACGGGGCACTCTCATGGCAAGCGACTCCTTCCTGAAGACAATGCAGGTGTTAGCATCCTCGACGACGGCATAGCGGCCATACAGGACTCATGGTAAGCGTCCTGTACGGCCACTATGCCGTCGTCGGGATGTGCTTTTCAGCGCTCTCACGAGTCACCTTATACCCATACCTTTTTCAGCCATGATTGTATTGCCAACCCCGCTCCGATTCACTTAATTTTCTCGTTGTCACATTTTACGACAATGTTACAGTCTTGAGAAAGCGACAAAATTGATGAAGAACTCACAACCGTCACAAATGGCTCAATCTTGAAAAGATCCATAAAGCTGCCTATTTCCTGTTCCAGTATTTTGGCAAGTTCTGGGCACTTATCTTTAAGAAGTAATTGGCAAACGCCGATAACTTTATCGTTTCCGAGAATCTTCTCCACCAATGCATCAATCTGCTGCATACCTAGCTGGAAATCAAACATTAGGTTAGCGAGTAAGTTCCATCACAATTTACCAAATCAGGCTTTCCTTATTATAGTGAAAGATACAACATCAATAATATAAAGCATTTTTTAGCGGGGATTCTAGTCAGTCGGGCACCTTCTGGTTGCCATCACAAGCAGGTTGGCGCTACGCAACCTCAGCTTCCACTTTGACTTCTGCCGGCAGCCAGCCAGTTATCGAAGCTGGCTTTTGTGGAGTTTTTTCGTCCATGTACTGATTAATTAGGGAGAGCTAGCAGACGGAAGCAGCGATGTTTTCACACGTTGCAGAGGAAAAGTCACCCTCCTGAGTTGCTGCTTCGGCGAGAATTTTAATGACTTTTAATGGCTTTCGGTATGACTGGGCCATACCCCAAG